GCCCCCGCAAGTCATTGTATAGGCCACATCGCATTCAAACGCCACTACGAATGTACAAATGGAAGTAGAATGCGTGCCGCATCCCAAAAAGGGATTGATCAACGGCAAATGCTTTATCCTTATCCTTTTATTTTTTAATGTAAAAAGACATTGGAAAAAGAGCGGTTGCCATTAGGGAAGTCATTCCGTGTTGGACGGAGCAAATAGTGATGGTACCTAATAGGTGCCTTCCGCTACACTGCCGTTCTCCTCATGGGCGATGTAATCTTTGTTCCAAGGCAGTTAGTGTTGACATATCATCGTTCACAATGGCTATTTGTGGTAGGAGCCGAATTTAGAGGGGGGTTATCCTGAATTTTTCTCCTTCTGATTGCTAGTCTTTACCAATGGAATATTGCCGCTACCAGTCCAGTCATGGAAAATGTGAAAACTCAACTTTTAATCAGCAGCCTATGTTTCAAAAGCTACTTGCTCTGGAGAGCATTCCGGGCTCCCTTTTTCTACTTTGCATCATTCTGGAGCTGATGAGCATACCACAGAGAGCATACGTGGGAACCTTTAAGGTGATAATTATTCTCTTTCAAAATCATTGACAAATGTCCTACCGACAATTTCGAGTTAGCCAAGCCTTGCAGGGTTCAGGAACGGGCAGGTGATTGCTACAAGATCGGTCTGGGAGAGTAAAAACGCTAACCTGTACACAAGGTCAACTGTGGCGTTCGGACTGACTTCAAATTTTCACGACCTTCTTTAGGTCTTGACAACAGGGTTAACCGTGCGTCGCACTATTTGAACGAAGGGATCGCCCATTTCTTGGTTTGTTTTGGGGAGGGGGTCTATCAGGGGTTGAGCGAAGGTGATTTAGATTGTGAATTGCAAAAAAAAACGCACAGGGTGAGGTAGGCCTACGTGAGAGATGTCCCGCCGCTTCCATTGTCACCGTCCCACCAAACTCGAAGCTCGTTGTGTGGCAGGAAAAAAAGGCGAAGTTGGTCTTCGTCTACTGGTCTCAGAATCAAAATACTACCTATAGAAAGGCCATGTGGCGGGGGTGGTCGAGGTAGGAGAAAGGTGGTCGTATTGGGGGAAGCCTCCTGAGTCTCATGGTGGTTGTGGGGGTCGCATCGAGACCCCCCTACAGGAGGGGGTCGCGAAATTTTTGAAAAAGTGCGAACGTCACGCGGTTGACCCTGCTCCGCGTAGCCCCCTTACATCACGCAGTGGGGAAGTCACCAACGGAATATGACCGCCGCTGTCCTTACCCTCACAGTGGGAGGAAGTTTGTAAATACGTCAAAAACGGCAAATATACTGATTTTGGCAATATCATGCTCATTTTTCGGGGTTTTTGTGAAAATTTGTCAAAAGGACTCCCACATTCGCAAGCACAACCCCTTCAGTTTCCGAATACGACCCCCGTATAGGTTGCCCGGACGGACATTTAACCCTGTTTATACATCGCTTGCCTACTGCACTCCATTTTACTGGTTGAATGCGCCTCCAACTACGATTCCTATGGATCGCGGGGACCAATGCTTATAGAGCAATTTTTATTTATCAGTAATATTTGATAATTATTTTTGGTAGTCACTTCTTTTGCTCCTGGCATCGACAAGTGAATTGATCATTGCCATCTAAATATTTTCGGCTAAGAGAACCACTTTGTCAAGCGAATTGCCTAAAACCGCCGCGAAATGGCCCATGATAAATGCGCCGTGTTTTGATGGACCTGAGCGCCCGCATGATGACGTCGTCGGCTCGTGCAATTCCAAATGCGCAAATTTTTTCAGGCAATTGATTTCCGCCCATGTAGTGCATTCCAATGGCCTTCTCAGCGATGTCGACTGTATAGCTGTGCTGACCAATGAACACACCCAGACGCCTGGCTACAGGAGCTCCTGGTAATTGCTGCGCCAGTACACTTATCTTAATTGGATCGCTAGTCCATGTCGATGATAGAATCTTCCGTCCACCACCTCACATCGCCTGCGCGCAATTCTCGCGCCCAAACCCTCTGCTCATCGGAGTGAACCTGAGAGCGCGGTTGTTCTCCTTGTCATTCACGAGATGTCTCTCGTCTCTGCCGTGCTGTGCGCGCACCTGCGGCTAGTCAGTTGCCTTGGAATGCCATCAATTCTGACAGCAATTTCACTGCAATTTATTGACTGTCTTCGACGCGTGTTCTCCACGATATCGGCAAGAAAATCAGCCATAGCTGGCAATTCACTACAGCTGTTCGCACCTTATTGAATTATCGACTCTGGCCCGTAATCTCTGGGTGCTTCTGGTCAACCAGCAGCCATCTGCTGGTGGCTTAGAGTGCACCATCATTGCTCGTAATCCGTACAGTGGAAGAGGGTCAAGAGCGCTTCCAAACCCTTAGCCACACCTCGTCGTCGGCTAGTATCCGTCCGTTTTAGGGACCTTATCCCGCTCTTATTCCCTGCGACAGAAAATGTCCATGAATGGTAATGAGCAGAAGGAGCGACGGCTCTCACAGCTTGCTTCTCAAACGCGGAATGTAAATGAGGGTCTTCATAAGCAGGCGGGTGGGTGAGATGCTGGGGCTATCTTTAATCAAGCGGTTGAGGATGATGTGGTAGCGGCACGAGAGACACCCATCCATCCTCTCCTTGTCACATTTACTCCTGCGTGCCAATTGTTCTGACATATGCACTCCAATATCGAATCCCCCGCTCTCGCACGGCCATTTCTCACCATTAATGTTTTTCGCACCCTCTTTCCTCCATCTCTCGTCTCGTTGACCCCAAGGGGCCATAGATCCCTGAGGAGTTCAACGGTGTGAATATACCTTCCTATGAAGAGCGCACTCACTTTTCTATTGGGTGCTATACCCTTGGGTACTTCCAAACGCGGAACTCATCACATTTAGCACTGACCCTGGTGCGCTACCAATTTGCGATGTGTTCCGACTTAATCAATTCTCCTCCTCCATCGGTCTACCTCATCCAACCCCCTCTCCCCACTTCTTCCCCTGTCGTTATTGTTGCGTTTTTTTGTGACAACTATCTCTCTGAGGCAATTCGCTACCAGAGTATGGCGCTATAAGTTTCCTGTCCCTTGGAAAATGTGATTTTAGGCTTTCCTACTCGAAGAAAAAATCAATCATTTGTTGGAATAGAAAATTGTTATGAATACTATTTCTGGCGTTCAGTGGTATGCAAAATTTTCCAATTTCGAAATTTCATAGGATTTTTTGGTTTATTTGCCAGTGGAATCTTTTGGGGCCCATTGTTGCCTTAAAAGCGCGAATCCAGGTGAAGGCCAGTCATTTTAAGGCTCTCGCAGTGGAGTGATGACTCAGCCGAGGAATTTCCTGGAAATAAACATTCGTGTTATACTAGGAAATTTTGAACAACATATCGGAAGGCATTTTAACCTTCTCGCAGGCAGATGCTTGATTGATTAGCTACCTGACATCGTTTTAAGGCAACCTGAAAAGCGCAATCAACTAGATGGAATTGCGAAATAAAGGCTCTGAAAGTCAATTTTAGGCGGCATCATTATTGGCGGTTGCG